ACAGTGATAGTTGCATTGTGGCTTATTATATATATATATATATATATATAAAATGGGCCCAAATGAGGTAGGTAATTAATAGTGTTAAATTGTCCAATAATATAAATTTTAAAGGTACAACCATAAAAGAAGAATGTACAACACTATCTAAGCACATATCATCCAACACTTGTCATGTACTAAGTAGTAGATATTCCCACTTATTATATATATAAATGGGCCCAAATGAGGTAGGTAATTAATGGTGTTAAATTGTCCAATAATATAAATTTTAAAGGTACAACCATAAAAGAAGAATGTACAACACTATCTAAGCACATATCATCCAACACTTGTCATGTGCTAAGTAGTAGATATTCCCACTTATTATATATAGTAAATATATATATATATATATATAAATGGGCCCAAATGAGGTAGGTAATTGATGGTGTTAAATTGTCCAATAATATAAATTTTAAAGGTATAACCATAAAAGAAGAATGTACAACACTATCTAAGCACATATCACTCAACACTTGTCATGTGCTAAGTAGTAGATATTCTCACTTATTATATATAGTAAATATGCACCTATTGTACTTTAGGATGGTTTAAAATTGAATGATAATCAATAAGTTAATTATAAAATTGATTTATTGGTATTACATTATCGAATTAATGGTTGGTGAACGAATTTATATTTTGTAGTTAGCGGTTAATTGATGTGGGGGTGGATTACTCAAATTTTTTATTGTGTAAATTATGTACCCGTTAAGAATTATCATAGTTATACTTTTGTTGTAAGTATATTTGTTAAACAAATACTTATTTGCATGCACCCTCAAAAACTATGATTTACAATTATAAAGTTATCAACTTAGGTAGAGTTAACATTAATTATTTTGTTTGATATTGATGAGTTTAAGTGAAAGAAAGTAGCATGAAATGATTGAGTCAGATACACTATTTAATAACCTCCATTAATTACTAATTTGATACTAAATCAATCGATAACTTATTGATTGACTAGCAAATTAGTATATTTAAATATTGATATCCGACAAATTATCGAGCATAATTATTTATTCCTTCTGTGCCTTTTTACTTGTCTAATTTTTCCTAATTTGATTTCCCTTATTTGTCATTTTTGACAAATCAAGAAAAAACAATTTATTTTTTTATATTATACCCTCAATTTATTGACATGGGTTAATGTCTATGAAAAATGTCGTGAGTAAATATATTTGGAATCCTATCAATTAATAATGGTAAAACAGTAAACTCATTATACCAATCAATATTTTCTTAATAGATGTGTCAAGTCAAAATTTGACAAGTAAAAAAGGACAGATTGAGTATTTTCATTCGCTATGCGTTGCCTGAACGTGTACTCACATGATTAATCAATGAATATGAGATTGTGTGTAACTGAGTATGATGAGACCGGTCCCAATCCGTCCGATTAGCGGTCCCCCTACTATACTTGATCATTTGATTTTAAAAAAATTGTTATTTAGAGTTGATATATTTTTGGTACAAAAGTGGATTGAAAAAACAATTTATTTTTTTCTATTATACCCCAATTTATTAACATGTGTTAATGTTTGTGGAAAATGTAGCGAGTAAATATATTTGGAATCCTATCAATTAATAAGGATAAAATGATAAACTCATTATACCAATCAATATTTTCTTAATAGACGTGTCAAGTAAAAAAGGACAGATTGAATACTTTCATTCGCTATGCGTTGCCGGAATTCGTACTCACATGATTAATCAATAAATATGAGATTGTGTGAATGATGAGACCGGTCTCAATCCATCCAATTAGCGGTCCCCCTACTATACTTGATCATTTGATAAATTTCTTTTTTTGTTATTTAGAGTCGATATAATTTTGGTACAAAAGTGGATATATATATATATATATATATATATATATATATCCCTATTGTCATATAAATGATTTAAATGTACCCTTTTCTTCTAATGAAAGTATAAAACAATTTTTAAAAAAAAAAATTATGTATGGATATATTTGATCTTGCTCACACATATTTTTTTGACTTCTTTAATTCAACTTCTAATTTAAATTTATTATTTTAATTATATAATTTATCTTTTCACAAACTTTCTTATAAAATTTATCATAAATATCTCAATTATTTTAAAAGACAAAAAAATATATAATTTACGATATAGCCGTAAAAAAAAAGTCGAAAATTTTATATTACTTTTTTCTCTTTTTTCATTCATGCTTCTTTCTTTTTATTTCTCATATTTTTACAATAAAAAATTAAAAAAAATTAAAAATTAAAATAATGATAATCACATATGAAAAGGATATATATGACCCATATTTGATATGATAGAGATATATTTAAGCCCCTATTATAATGGTAAGTCGAAATCTTAGTCACTTTGTAATGAGAAATATATAACTCAAATAACAAAATAACAAGAATTACTAAATAAATAATAATTTTAATTTAATATCAATAATTATTAAAAATAATTAAAATATTAAAAATGAATAAAACTTAATAATAAATATACATTAATAATTTATATCTTAATTATTTTAAACTGAACAAATTTTAAGTGAAAAAAATATTTTTATAGTAATAAAATGTAAAAGTAAACAAAGGGGAGAGAACAAAATAATATCTCTTATAATCGTGCAAGGATTCCCGTGATCTAAAATAAGTCTGAACTTTTGCAAGTACAGTTGCTTTCTCACTTTTCAGAAAGAAAATTACAATGCATTATTTATTTCTCTTGCAATAAATAAAAAAACTATTGTCTTAAAAGTTATTTACGGGAAAGGGTTAAAAATACCGTTTAATTTTTATTTATTAGTTGATTTTATTCTTACTGTTAAAATGAAGTTATTCTTGCCTTTGTCGTTATTATACTTATCATTTATTGGACGGAAATCTCCAAATCACTTAAAATTACCCAATTTTTTTTTTAAAAAAACCACCACCCTTATATAACTCAAATCGGACTTGGGGATTTCCGTCCACAGAGGGGAACAAATGATAAGTATAGTAACGACAGAGGTAAGAATAACTTCAGTTTAACGGTTAAGGTAAAGTCAACTATAATAAAACCTCACTAAATTAATATAGATGAGACCATAAAATATTATTATTTATAAAGGTATTATTTAATCGATAAATTAATATTTATTAATTTAAAGAGTGATTCGATATCACAAAATTTGTTGGGGTATGAAATCCCAGAGAACTTAATAAATAAACTCACTTATGAAAATGTCATTCGTGAACTCGAGGTCATGATTAATGATCTCGGCTTACGCAATAAAATGGACGTTAATAACTTGTTGGATGGGTGAAAATGATACATGTCCAAAGGTCCGGAGCTTAGAAAACACTTATCACATTTAGAACCAGTTGAAGATGTGGATGATAAAGTTAAAGATGATATAATACCAGAGAACCAGTTACGCTAAGGAAACACTTATCACATTTAGAACTCTTCTCAATTTTATGGTGCATTTCGAAAAGACAACACCAAAACTTTTTGGATGCAATAAGAAAGTTAGAAATGAGGTTCAATTAGATTTAAATTTTAACAAAAGAACAAAACACAATAGAATCATATTTCACAAAATTGTCTTAGATATATTTCTACTTTTAAAGAATTATTAATTTATAATATTAATGGGACTATATATTTATATAGGGGTCTTCTAAAAATATATTATCTTATCGAAATGAATGAATTTTTTCATTGACTCAATATTATCTTAAAGATATTTTTGATTAACCAGGTATTAATTTAGTGAGGTTTTACTGTAATAAATGAAAGTTGAAGGGTATCTTTGTCTTTTCCCAAGTCTTTATATGTTATCTACTCCCCCTTCTCAACAACACTTGTCAATTATTGATTTTGCCCATTTTTAAGAAACTATAAATATAAGAGTAATTTTATTATATCACACTTTGAATATAATAAATATAATGTCTTGAAAAATGTAATAAATAAATGACTACAATTAATGATAAGGGTAAATTAGAAACTAAGTGTAAAATTATCCATTGATTTCATAAAGTTGACAAGTATTGTTGGACATTCCAAAATAGTATAGTAAACGAGTATTGTTGAACAGAGGGAGTAATAAAATGTTATGGAAACAAATAGGAAAAGGGAGTGGGGGTTTGGAGGTGGCGTTAGGAATGACAAAATCAAACTCAACACATCCAATCCATTTAAATTTAGACGGGTTATTAATCTGCCAATTTATTAGCTCTACTCATTAAAAATTGAATTGATATATAATACAAATATTTATGAGAAAATCTTGTTATTTTTTTATTAATTTGATATTTTAAATATATCCATGATAAAGACAAAAATAATTTTGTTAGTTACTAAAATATTTTAAAAGAACAAATAAAACAATAAAAACTTAGTAAAAATTGAATAGAGTTGATTTGACCCCCCTCATTTTAACCCAAACAAATTTGGGTTGGATTGGATTGAGTCTTGACCCAATATGACCTATCCAAATTCGATTCAATTCACCCAATTATCACATTGAGATAACGAGACGGTCAAAGAGTGAGTGTTAGGTGGATTGAGAGAAGATAATAAACTTGAAATGTTACCCAAAAATACCAAGTACAATGAAGGGAAATATTCTTAGAAATTCCTACAAAGATATTAGGACTAGTGGTAGGTGAATAAGTTAAGTACTCTCTTTCTTTGTCTCAATTTATGTGATATTTTTCAGATTTTGAGATTCAAATAAATGTATTTTTTACCGTAAATATTTTAAATTGTCAATTATTGTGACTTATAGTACTTTTTAAATAGTTTACAAAAAAATTGAAAATGCCATTTAAAAAATTCATGATCAAACTTAAATTATTTAATTCTCGAAAAACGAAAAGCATCGTATAAAACCGAGACACAAGAAGTACTATATATATGTAGCATTAGAGTTCAACTACGACTATTACATTACATTCATCAAATAAGTGAAAATTTCATTCATCCAAAAGAAGAATGAATATTGCAATTGATGATGATGAAATCTTCTCTTTACCTAGCCTCGATGAACTTGAATCTATCACACATCTTCTTTATGATGATGATTCCGATTTTTTCGAAACTCTTTCACCAATGAGTTTAGATAGCACAACATTATTGCCTAATACTCCTACTTCAAATTCACTTGAATCCCCCGTAAGACCGGAGCCTCCGGAGGAAACAAAGGAAACATCTGTGGAGCGCGAACGCGAAGAAAGCGCGCCACAAGATTGGAGGCGGTTCATAGGAGTGAGGCGAAGGCAGTGGGGCACGTTTTCAGCCGAAATAAGAGATCCAAATAGGAGAGGAGCGAGGCTGTGGCTAGGAACTTATGAGTCCCCGCAGGATGCAGCATTGGCTTATGACCAAGCCGCTTACAAGATTCGGGGTACCAAAGCTCGGCTCAATTTTCCTGACTTAATTGGCTCGGACGTGCCTATGCCACCTAGAGTAACGGCTAGGCGTCGTACCCGCTCACGCTCGCGCTCACCCGAGCCATCAACAACTTCTTCGTCCTCATCTTCGTCCTCGTCCTCGTCCTCGTCCTCGTCCTTGGAAAATGGGACGAAAAAAAGGAAAATAGATTTGATAAACTCAATAGCCAAAGCCAAGCTACTCTGTGGTGTGAATTTACAAATGTTGATACAAATGTGAGAAAAGAGGCAAAGGTTTATTTTTTCTTCATTTAACAATTAAGTATTACGTATAATTAATAGACTCATCAAGGTTATTGTGTAAATGTACTCTTTAATGACCTTTCCTTTAATGGTTTTATTATGAATTTGACATTATTTCCTTTTATAAACTATTTATTGTTCTATACAGGGGGGAGCCACAAGCATCCTAGAGGTTCATCCGAATTTCTCTTTATAATAAGGTTATATATAGAAGGATGTTGATTCTTTTTGATTTTTTCGTGTGTTTTAATATGCTTAATAAAAATTGTGGCTCTTCGTCAATTTTATATATTATAATGAATTCAGATCTACTATTTATCGAATGAATGCAGATACTCGTCTATTTTATATATTATAATGGATTCAGATCTACTATTTATCGTAATTTTATTGAATGAATTATATATCTGCATGCTGCATCCGCTACGGTGACCGCCATTCACAAGAAGTTGTTACACTACACGTAAGTTGAACAAAAACATCGTTAAGTTTTATTTTGTAAAGAATAAATTTTAGTTAGTATCGGTTGTAAATTTTTTATACACTTGTTATATACAAAGTTTAAATTGTATTTTTTCGTTTATAAACATATAAACTTCATAAAACTCATCAAAATGGCCCTATTCCTTAATCTTACCAAATGAGTAAAAAACCATTAAAATAATATAATACACTATTATGAAACTATTCAAAAAATAAAATAATATTCATTGATTAAATTTTAATTCAATAAAAAATAAATTTGAACATGAATTATATAGTGTATTATTCTTTAATATATTATTTTTACGACAATCTTCTCACGTTGATCAAGTAATACTATTCATTAGAATAAATTTGGTTGGCTAGGATGAAATAATTGTTAGATATGAAGTGTGGTATCTTTTTTTACAAAATATAATTTTACATGTCAATTTTTATATTTAAATAATATGAAATTCTCAAAATCATTTTTTTTGGAAAATTTGAAAGTTCAGTTCGTGATTTCAAATTATGAGAAGAAAACAATAGTATGATCATACTTCCTCCGTTTAAAAAAAAATAACCTCCTTTCCTTTTTTTTTGTAACATTTCAATTTCAATATTCCACATGACATGTTTACGACTACAAGATCAAAAGTCAATTTTGTACACTTGACATAATTTTAATTTAGAACCACAAAATTTAAAAATCTTCTTTATTTTCTTAAATATCGTGTCAAATCAAACCAGATCACTCTTTTTGAAACGGGGTGTATAATAATTCATCTCTTATTCAATTATTTTTGTTATGGTAGGTGGGTTTATTTATTTTTTGGGTGGGGTTGTGGGGGTGGGAGTGGTGGGGCGCGGGTCCCGAAGCAACAAGGGACTTCGATATCGTTGCAGGCTGATTGTCACGTGGCAGTCAACAAATCATGCATTTAATGGAGATTCGTATTCTCCGCAATAAAAAATAAAATCTCATATATTTAATATATTATTATTAATGTATATAATTTAAAAAAATTAAAAAACATATATATTTATGTGATTGATTTAATTTATTAATTGATAATTAAAATGGTATTTATTAAAATTTTATATATTTATTATCCAAAAAAAATTAAATAGTTATTAAGACGGACACAAGATCCACATATCGGGGACAGGAGATCTCATTGTCTCAAAACAATCTCCACAATTATTTATTTTTAAAGTTCCACTCTTTAAATGAGAGATTTTTAGATAAATATTTATACGATTAAGGCTATTTTTAAATATAGTTATTATTAAATAATGCACATGGGTGAACAACGAATTCAGTAGATATTTGGATTCTTTCACTCAAATATTATGTATGTTATACAGATTTTGTATCAGAAAATTAAATAACTTATAGTATCAATGTTACAGAGCTCAGATACCGATGATGGTTAGTAAGTCTATATTTATTCAATGCACACATCATGGATCACCTAACATCTAGCCTTTAGGGTCGTTTTGTTAGGAAAAGTTATATGATAGATTAATTATTTTGAGATAATTTATTTTATTACTATAGTATAAATGGTGAAATAAATTATCTCAAATATAGCAATTAAATAAGATTTGAAAATTTTATTTCATTATTGTTTTTTTATTTCATGACTATTTATTTTTATCGATTCACATCAAACGATTCCATAGAGTTTACTATTGAGAGAAGCTAAATGGTCATAATTTTTAAAAAGACTTATATAGCCTTTTTAGATTTTATAATATTTTTTAAATAAGTTTTCCTCCAAACTTTATATTAATAAAATGCAGTAACTTTTTGCTATATTATAAACTCTTTAAGGAAATAAAATCCATTAAATTTAATATCTTTATTATTTGTTTTGAATTAAAATTTAATGGATTATATCAATTTAGATGTTTTAATTTTCAATGTATATTCAATTTTTAATTACGAGGCTTATTACTTTAGCAAAAAAGTTGTCTTAGAATAATTATTTTAAAGAAATTTAAGATAAATATTACTTTCTGTGTTAAGTAATAATTGTTCACTATTGTGATACACATCTTAAGAAATCAATAATAAATAATAAGAGTAATATTATTACATTACCCTTTGAATATATTCAATTTAATATTTTGAAAAAATGTATTAGATATTGAACAATATTTAATATCAAGGGTAAAATAAATATAAAAGTGTAAATGATCTCTTAATTTTTTTGAAGTGAACACTTATTTTTAGTATGATGGACACGTAATTTTCAATTATAACTTTATTCAATAACTATTTTTCCTTCATAATAACCAATTCTTAAAACATACAATCAAACAAGCATGAGTCAATTATTTCCTCTCGTTCATTTATTTGTTATCCTTACTAAAAATATATGGTCCAAAATAATTGTTAATTTAGAAAATTAAGATATAATTAATTGGTTCCTCCGTTTCACACTACTTGATCTCCATGCTAAAAATAATTATTTAGTTTTACTCATAATCAAGAGAGTTTTGTTGTAATTTTTTTGTTGTTACCCTTAGCATGAGTATTAAGTATCTACCCTCACCAATAAAGATGGTAAATTGTACATCCTTAATTAGAGATATCAAATATAAATATCCTTAGATACAAAATCACTTTTGTAAAATAGTGTTTTTTACTTTTTAATGTAAAATATTTTTAATAATATAAATATCGAACTTCATATTTTCAAAGATTATTACTCCATATAGACAGCTTCACCTACCCCTCTTCCGCGTACTCCTATTCAGACTTCCAAGCCTAGTTTGCATCAAATGCTACCAAATTTTAAATATAAAAGGGGTGCAATGTTAATGAGTCAAGTAATATAAAACGAACGAAGTATTATATAGTTTTCATCTTTATTCTAACGTAATAAATGTGGAAATAGATTAATATGATGAAAAAGATAGAAGTATTAAATCAATAAATATAAAAAAAATTAATTAAATTACTCCTTTAGTTATATATTTTTAAAGCACGTAAAAATTAAACATGAGGCAAAATACATGAAAGGAGTAATAGAGCCCGTTTGGATTGATTTAAAAAAAGTACTCCCTCCATTCCATATTGATTGAAGTTTTTAGGCATTTTTCATTTTCAAATTAATTTAATTGTTAAGTTTTCAAGACTACTTTTAGAATGTTCTTCCAATTTTACCGTTCATTTGGATTTTCAATGTGATGACTTCAATAAATTTGACAAGAATTAATAAGAATAATAAAATGGAAAACTATGTTCAATTTTTGTCTTAATCTACTTTTCTTAAAGGGTGTGAAACACCTCAAAAATTCAATTAATATGGGAATGAAGGGAGTAACTTTTAAGTCAAAAATAAAAAGTCAAACTGAAATTACTTTTAAGTCAAAAATAAAAAGTAGGGTCTACTTTTGGTTTTTGACTTATTTTAAGTCATTTTTAATTGCCAAACACTTCGTAACTTATTTTAAGTCATTTTTTATATTTGTCAAATACTTCCAGAAATCAAAAATTAACTTAAAAGTAGGTTTGACCGACTTTTAAACTAATCCAAACGGACTCTTACACTATCCATTTTAATTTGTTTGTTTTAAAATGAATTTATCTATTCTTTTTTAGCTTTGAATCTGGACTCAATGACTTCAATTCAAGAGGGACACTCCGCCCTACTTCAATTAAAGCTCACTCCACTCCCTTTATAATTATATCTGGTTGAAAGTGATAATTCTTTAATATTAATATTTGTGTAATATTTTTTGTAACATGTCACATATCAAGAATCTTTTTTTTTTTTAGTAAGAATGCCATATAATTAGGAACGGAGAAAATATTAAATTTAAAAATTATAAAACTATTTTCTTAAATTTTATATTGAAATAAATAAACTAAAACCGAACAAATAATAAAGAGAGGATATTTTCCTATGATTCAGTGGCTGAAATGTACTATACTGTGTGGTGTAGACATTTTTTGCTCTATTGATTGAACAAATCTGCATATTTTCCTCTATTCACATCTCGTGTTCTTGTACCACCACTTAAGTTGTGGTCCCATCATTATTTTCCGCTTATTTTATTGGGAAAATTTTAAATTTAACAAGTTTAGTTTTTTGATCGCGAAAATTCGTATAAAAACAAAATGAAGGTCAAAAGTTCAAGACGATTAAAGTATAGGGCCCACAAATCAGCATCACCTCAATTTTTTGTTTTATTTTGGCGTTCCTCCGGTACGGCAAACACACCAAAAAAAAAAAGATTCGAAAACTAGTTTATTGTTTCTAATAAATTTTGTTCGTACTCCCTTATTTATAGGTCATGTTATTTTTTGTTCTAATTTATTATATTCTATTTTTTTGAAAAAATTGTCTCAAGAAAATATCAGATATTTTAATATTTATAAAATATTAAATTTAAGTATTTAGATATTTTGATCTATCCATTGATATTTTTAACGAGTAACGAGTACTAAATTTCAGTATTCGAATAATAAAAGAGATTTTAAAAATGCTTTGAGAAGTATCT